CGGTCAACCATTGGGTAATCGGAGTCTGCGGTTTTTAGGGCCGACCTTTTCTAACACGTCCTTCTTCGGGGGATGGTGGCATCACTGCATCCGTAAATATGAACATGCTGGTTGCCTGGGAGGAACACCTTACTGCCTTCACACTCCCGTCACAGAGGACAATACGAATTTACCCCCAGACCGCCTCGTAGCACGATTACCCGTAGTACGGATCTCACGGCTCTTGGTCTTACTGCTCCCCTTTAGCCTGCCTGGCATGGTTGCACCCTGTGGAACTACGTTCCAGCCAGTGTATACCGCAGCATCATTGCAGCACTCAAGCCCGACCACCACGTCAAGGTGGCGGCTTTGGGTCAATCACACACGGTGGATGCAGCCCCAGACACAGCAAACATCATCATCAGCCTCACGCACTACGCCACTAGCACCGGCCGGTTCATGTAGGCTATGGCACACCGGAGAGGGTGTGTTTCAAAAAGGAGACCAGTGTAGTATACGGTGTCTGTCAGTTTGACTGAGTTAGATGTAAGTATTGGTGATGTACAACCTTGCTTACTGGGCTTTGGCTCGTGAGCTTTCTCTTTATTTCCATCTACAGAAATCATCGTGATCACCTGCCATCGGAGAATCAATGTTCCATGGTGCTTCAATGGCGTGCATACCACAGTAATCACAGAGTGATCCGTGAGGCCGTGCAAGAATATCCGTGAGAAGGGGAGAAGCGTCGAGCTAAAGATGCTCGATCCGGATTAACCGGCATTCTGCCCAATCAGGGCATGCCTTCATGTGGTCTGAGGCCTCACATGACATCCGTCCAAATGATATGACGCTTGGTTGTTACGGACGGCTAGCATCCGAACACCTTGAGAAGGCTGTTCAACCGACCGGCGCTCTGAACTCAACTGTGTCGACTCATGGAGGCACTCATCATCATCTTCTTCTTCAATGACAGCAACATCAGTGTTGGCAGAACACCTTGGGCTGTTCAACCGACCGGCGCTCTGAACTCAACTGTGTCGACTCATGGAGGCACTCATCATCATCTTCTTCTTCAATGACTGACACATCAGTGTTGGCACTGATGCTTCACTGCCGTACAACCATAAAGTTCGTTTAGTTTTATATATATATATAGATAATTGTATTAAAAGCCCTACAGTGAAGCGAAGAGAAAAAGAGTGGGCGTGGGAAGGGACCTAGTGCTGGCCTATGTCAAGCATAATGAGGTGCCTACACCTCCAACCGCTGAATCAGACAATCTGGAAAGAAACTGACATCACGAACGCCACTGACATCGATTAGCCACCATTTCTTGCAACGTCTCCAGCCAAGCACAGACGGGGTCACGGGGACCCCATCCTGGGAGGCGTACAACACCAACAACACCCAAACTCTTCGTGATCTCTTTCACGCCTTTTTGCCGAGTCATGTGCTGTCCACCTCGCGGTTTGCGCCATCCTGAAGGAGGCAGGAAGAACAACACTGATTTCAGTAGACGGTGTTTCGGCATGCGTAGCACATGACCGAGCCGTCGCAGTCGATGATGCTGGATGTTTTTCCGGATTGAGGTGCCTGAAGCACAACCAAATACCCGTTTTCTAATCGCCTCGTTACTGACACGCTGACGCCATCCACAACCAGCCAC